AATTTTGAGTTCTTCAGTAGTGACAATGAGAAATTTGAAAGACCCATATTTCTTCTGTTAGCTTTACAGCTTCCCAAAACATAATGGATTTCTCAGATGAGATCAGTGGCAACATTAACAGATGTGATTCTTTGTGAATGTATTATTAAATATGTCAACAGATCTTTATAACTCACTTCACGGATACTTTCCAAGTGACCAATGTATCAGTTAAGTGAGTAAAAAAATCCACTTCAATTCCAAGTAACTGAGTACAAGTGGCCCACTGTTATGGTTTCAGATTCCACACTGCAGCCAACCTTTATGAAACTCCTACTTGTCAAGTTCTGTGTAGTATCAGAGAAGAATGTACACAGTTATCTAAAAAGACCATTAAAACATTTTCCCCTCTTGAAACCACATCTCTATGTGAAACATGGCTTTCTTTGTAAACTTAAACCAAAACAACACATTGCAACAGATTGAACACTTAAGTCGATATGAGAATACAGCTGTCTTCTGTTCAAGCAAATAGCAGAAATTTTATAAAATATCAAATACAGCCATTGTTCTCACTAATGTTTTTGTTGGAAGATAAACCCAAATTATTTATATTAACATATACAGCAAGGGTTTCAAAAAGTTTGTGGGAAAATTGCATTATCCTTTAATTCTATTTTTCCATGAACTTATTGAAGCCCCCTCAGTATTTGGTTTGTTACTATCATTTTGAATGATTTCATATAGATCTTTAAACTTTTCTGCTCTAATCTGTCTAAGAATAAATATTGGTTGATGAATCCCTGGGTGCGGCCAACGATTGACCGGCATGCTTGACTGCTAAAGGAAAGGCTGGACATACAAAATCAACCCAGGAATACCTCGGAAGAAAGGCCTGGTGATCTCAATCTGAAAAATGTGTCACTGCTGTCTATTCTGGCACATGCGGGGTTGCCATGGCTTGATGGCAATGTTTTCTCTCAAAATATTTTATATCTCTAACAAACAAAAGCTCCTTGGTGTTCCAATAAGTTTTAAAGGCTGTGAAGCAGTTCCGAGATCAAAACGTGAGAGAATCACAGCCCTTGAGTGCCTTGTGAACTTGGCTTTCCCATCCTCTCACATTGTGTCTTTTTTGCTTGTTGTAATAAGGTGAACATTTACATGTCGGAAATTGGTACGGTGCTGTAAGATTTGGAAAGAAAAAAGTGCACACAAAAAGGGCATTGCCAATTGCAGTCTATTTTTTACAGATCTTTCACGATAAGTCACGTCTATTAACCAAGTCTTGCTATAGATGTTTATAACAAAACATTAAAGACTGGGTAGAAAGGAGAAAACAAATTACTCTGCAGAGAACCCAGCGACTCTGCTAAAATACTGTCAGTTATTTATCTACTGTCAGCAGAGGTTGCACACTATAATCCTTGACAAGCTCCGATTCAGAAAGAATGAAGAGAGGGGGCAAGCACTGCATTGAGGGTCTGTTCTCATGCACAGACATTTTAACACAGATTTAAAGCCAGAATGTATCTTCTAAAAAATGTCACTTTTGATTTTGATACATTTCCTAGCAAGCAGGCTTTACATTTGGTTGACTTAGTACGAGATATGTTAGAGGCTAACACTATATTTTAGACCATTCATGATCCCAGCGTGGAAGTAACACAATGAGGTCAGGATCACTTCATTTTTCGAGTTGGCTGCTGCAACTGCATGATTTCATGGGGATATTTTTTTATGGTGAGGAGGAGGGCTTTATTTTTGTTTGGCTAGGCAAGGTAATGACAGGACCTAAGAACCCCGTTGCCCTCTCCAGCATCCATTCCTTCTTTCCATTAGCCGGGAAAACCCATCAATGCACGCCGGTGCTGCAGACTACCTCCCTCTGGAACCCGTACATGGCCAAGGTAGGAATGCCACGAGATGATGAGTTTCCCTTAGGCTACTGTGAAGAAAGCCCCCCTTCAAGCAGGTAGTTCAAGTAGCTCGTCACACTGACAGGAACATCTGAAGCACAGAGAAGGAGAGGCTCAAGCCAAGTGGGCTGAATGAGAAATAACAGGCCCAGTCATTTCCAGTGGAAACCAGGGTTTCCTTCCAAACGCAGTTCACAGCGACTGGTGAAGGGCATGATTTCTACCCATATGATCAGAGGGCTAAATAAATGTGTGCGTGTAAGTGGGGGTGTCTGATGAATGAGAAGCCAGCATCTTAATCTGCTAATTCATATTCACCAATTAAAAGGCAACTGTATTTTTGTGAGCAGATTTACATAAATCAGATGATCAAGCATCTACCACTAAAGGGTAGGAGTTCAGCTCGCAGTATCTGTGTACGTACTCCTAAAGAAACTATAGGCGTTTCAGGTTTCCATTGAAGAGTCCTGCTGCGTTGGAACTCTAATGGGCTTAGAACAGTACATTTTGAAGAAACTGATTGCTACCCCCGTAGCTAGAAAATGTCTGCCTAGACCCAGTGGCATTTGAAAAAAGTGTTTTATCATAAAATTATCCCAGCAGAGTCCATTCTGCAAGATAACATCATCATCATCATCATCAGTACTCCATGCAGGACCCAACAGCTCTGGCACAATATTGCCAGTCATTTATCTGTTGTCAGCACAGGTTACACACTGTAATCCTTGACTGCCTCGGAATTAGAATGTCTTTGATGTCCCCACAAGAGTTTTTTGCCCGAAGGCTTTACCAATGCTCGGCGGCTCAGTGTTTATTCCTCGTAATCTTCCTCTCATCTCCAGGCTAGCAGTGACAGATGGTTATGGGCACACAATAGTATTAAGAGTTTGATATTTTTTTTATGCTGTGCTCTCTGTACAACAAATAGCTATCAGACGCGGGCCAGAGAGCTGACATGGCTCGCTTAGGTAATGGCAAACAAACAGCTCGGGTTGATGCTTTCTGTCATTTCCCCTCCTAACCCTGCTTGTTTTCATTGTATACTCTCAAAGGTAAACTATATTAACCTTATAGACTGTTATTAAAAAGATATATCTATATGAGCATAAAGTGCTTTTCTTTTCTCTTTTTCTTACTCTTTTGATTATGAAAGTAATACTGCTGACATATTGAACAAATATCGAATGTCAACATAAATTTTTAGTGTGTGATAATATCCCCCTTCATATAGCTGTGTGTCAGGCGGGAACCCGCAGATGATGCATAGCAGTAAATAACCCAAACAAAATTAGTTCTCTTGTCAGCTTCTACCTTGTATGTCCCCAGGCATCAGTAAAATTGACTGCACGCTAGATTTTCAAAATTAGCCCTAATGTTAGCTATGTGTCTGGCAACCTCCAAGTTTCCAATGTTCTACTATATTACCCGTAAGGATGAATGTGTTACTTTTATATTTTGGCATTTACTCTTGCTGATGCGGCTTTTTCCCCCCTCTTCTCCAAATTAAAAATAATTTAGCTTTAACAATAAGAATGTGCACAAACATAATGCTGCATCTCTTTAAGCAACTAACTTTAGGCAATTAAATTAAATTAAAGCAAAAATATACAAAGGAAGAGAGGAAATTATTCAATTTAATATTGTTAATTTTATTAACATGGCTCTGTCTTATTTTGTGCAAAGAGCTGAATAGCATGGTTCTCACTCCACCTCTCCCCAGTGTCAGGAGTCCACACGTCATTTAATTTAGTATTTTTCAGGATGGCCTAGAACCACACTTTTGAGAGCTGATGTTCTCAAAATACGTAGTATTTCAGAGATCATCAAAGATTAGCACAGGGCAAACAACAAAACCAAACCAAAAAATGCTTCCAAAAGGGAGTGAAAAAACGATGGCATCTATTTTACCTTGAAACAGGTTAACCTCGAATGGTTGAGCAAGTACAATATGAATGGAAATAAATCAATGTGACTCCTACGGAAAGACAAAGTTGGAAGCTTGGGGTTGACAAGACAAGCCCCAAATCTATCCCATATCAACTTTCCATTCTGGAATTTTACGTTCAGACATTTGGAGGCAAAGATGAAAATCTCTTTAGGTACCAGATGCTGCATATCATCGGGGAGCGCTTCGGAGTTTACTGTGCTGGAAGTCAAATCCTCGGCAAAGGCACATTGGCTGGCCAGTGTACCCTGCTTATTACTTCACCTGCAAACAGTTGCTCTCAGGAAATCGGACCTAATGATTGTCCCCGCGTCTCTGCAATAAAGAGCCCATAATCTGTAGGGGGAAGTGAACTCTAATCAGGCCACATGCAGATTAAACTAACTGGGAGGAATAAAAACTAGATTAAAATGTTTATGCCTAATACCAGAAGATTATTAGGACATCTTACCTCTTTAAATCCTAATTTATAGGAGGCAGGGTTAAGTTTATGAGTTTATATTTGGTCCGATTATAGGCTGCGGTAGATTTTCCTCTGCTCAGAAAAGATTCCCTGGAAAGTATTTTGTGCAGGCTAATACAGAGATATTTAGGAGGAGGAGAACATTTTCAATCATACGGATACATATGATGACAAGTAAAATTGAGGTACCTGGCTGAAATTGCTCAAATTACAAATTAGTGGTCAATGTTTTTATTTTAACATTGATACGATTAATCAATTTGTAAATACGGAATGTCTTTGTGATAGTATATATATGTATATAGTTATTTATAATGGAATCTTCATTATATCTTAAACCTTTAAATTTAATTAATTAAAAATATATTTCGATATCATTGAGAATATACACAGCAAAACAGCATTCATTCTTTTTTTTTTTTTTTTGGACCCTTCTTGGACCAGGCCTTGATTTTCTGGAAGCTCATAACTTCTGCTAGTTGAGTAAATTACTGCAACTACCTGCCTGGAACTGAATTTTTACTAAGCACACAGCTATTAATGTAAAGATTTTGGGTAGGCTCACTACCTTGGTAGTACTGCCACATTAAAACAATCTTTTGCTGAAGCCATAGAACTACAGATTAAGACATCTAATCACGTTTTCTATTACCAGTGCCACAACTTTGAACAAACTGGCATGTCTTGAACTTACCACCTGTGAGGCCACACGATGTGCAATGGTCTTTGTTGATCATCCGCTCCACCCAAAAGGGCACAGGGATTAACAGTTGGATTCTGTTTCCCGTCTTCATGATGAGAATCTGAATTATCTGAAGAGTTGGCCGGGTTCAAGTCTGACACGTGCATTACTGAGCTACGCAGGCTTTCCGGTTGCCCTGTTTCAAGGTCAGAGTGTGCTTCGCAGAGTCCAGACCCAGAGCTTAAACTCTGGAGTCCGTCCGCAGACCCTCTCTGTTCAGGCACAGGAAGAAGGGCCATGGCCGGAGCAACGGCAGCAGCATTTCCTTTAAGGCTGAGCATCGTCTTTAAGTGGGTGGTTTTGTGCTTGGGCATGAATCTGTTGCAAAAGGAAATGCAATGTACTTTTACTGAAAATAAACATCTAAAAAATGTCCGCACATTTCTGTAAGGGCTTGATGATTAGAGAACAAACAAAGGTAAAAGCCCCAAAAGTCTAGAAAAACGTATTTACAAAACTAGCAGCCATCTACAGAAAGCTTACTGCTGGGAAGTAGATCAGACTCTCTTGGATTAGTTTCCAGAGTTTCTGTGGTTATAAAACTGATACTCGTCCTACAAACCTCACCACGTTCAAAACTCAAAGCTAACAGCCACCTCCTTTTTCTGTAATAGTTACTTTTGGCCAGAGGTACACGTAACATAAAAAATAAGGCTAGAGCAGTTGTTCAGCATGTATCCTGGACTTCATTTTGCATTTTCCAATCACCATGTGGACCAGTGTACACTTGCTCAAGCCACACTTGTTCATGTTTGAAAAGTCTTTGCTTTAAACAGGAACCATATTGGCCCACATGAGTGTCTACTTTTCTGGTTAGCTGCATATCTTTTAAAAATTAAGTTGGCATTGCCAAAGTTTTTTGAAGTAGATTTTATGTCTTTTTCACATAGCATGTTGTCCTATCTTCTCATAATCTTTCATACAGAGTCCAGTATCTGTCACTGGTTTATAGAATCTAAACAAAATGGAATCTGAAAAATACAATTCTTAGTAACACCTAAAGCCTTTGAGTCGTGCATAACCAGCAAAGAATACGCCCTCTAGGAGCTTACCATCCAATGGGGAAGCAATCTGTTAGAGCTAAGACCAGACAGAATGAGAGGCAGACCACTAAACAGCCAACCAATCTTCCATGGTACATACTCTCTAATGCCTGGACCTGCCAATGACTAAAACTCAGAAAGACTAGTGACTACTTTTGACTTGAGAATCAGTAAAAGTTTAAAGATGGTTTTACCTGAAGGTTTTTGAAAGGCAAAGAGAGGGAAGTTGTGAGCTAAGAAAACAGTGGGTTTGAAGGGAAGGAGTATGAAAGCATAGAGACTCTTCATGGAATAACATGCAACTCAATGCCAAGGGTTGTGGGTGTGGCCATTGGAGGTCAGCCAGACCCCTGAAGGTTTTCTCAGAGGCCCTGAAGCTCATCTAGATACTGGGCCCTTTCCCTTATGGTGGAGTAAGTGGAGAGGGGTGGGGGGGGGGGTGAGAAGAGAGAGAAAATTGGTACACTGAAGAAATAGACAGGAAAGGAACATTTGGTGGAGGAGAAAGTGAACCTGAAAGAATTATATCACACTATCAAACCGTTTCCTAGGTAGACAATCACCAGAAATGACGTGAATTTTTTTGTTTTCTCTTGTAGGAAATCAAGACTGGCTACTCGGAAAGGGAATTCCTGTGGAGTTGTGTGAAAAGAAATGGGATTGTAGGAGGTTAGGGAATGTGTGTGTATGCCTGTGCCTCTGTGTGTGTGTTATCTGTGTATTCTCCCCACCCCCACCCCCACGTGTGTGTGTGTGTGTGTGTGTGTGTGTGTGTGTGTGTGTGTATGTGTGTGTGTGTGACTTGGAGAGACATGGAGAGAAACAGTGAGTTGAAGGTGAAGTTGAATGCTTTTTGTCCCCCTTAACTGGGCAGTAGACACTTGGGGGCACTTGTTGTGGGAGGGAGCAGGATATTGAAGAAACATTTTCAAGATGGAAACAGAAGAAACACATGACATAGATGATAATGGCAGGGTTCTTGGCATGGGGGAAAAGAAGGCTCCATGCAAGAGAATAACCTTAACCTTCTTTGCCAAGTTCAAGAAAGAAGGAGAGAACAATCAAGTTGATAAAAGTTTCAGAAGTCGGGTGGGGAATCTGAGACCTTGTCCCACTAAAAGCATTAGGCTGGTCTTCTGCTTCCAGCAAGGTGAGGAGAGGTGGAGACAAGGGTTAAGAAGTGAACAGAGGGGTCTGCACCCTCACAGTGAAGACAGGGAGAGAGTGGCAACTAGATTAAACAGCAACGATGGATGAGCAAAACTAAGGAACTGTGGGGATTCACCGGTGAGTGGGAAACAGTCTTTAGTTATAGTACTGTAGTATATGCAGTATACATCCCAGAACCAGAAAGCTTATGGTAGGGCTTCTATTCTTGTTTCTGGAGACCTGGTTGTTTGGTGGGTCATGTGTTGGGCTGTTGTTAGTCACAAGGTCAGCGGTTCAAATCCACAGTCAGCCATGAGGGAGAAAGATGAGGCTTTCAACTCTGGTAAAAATTCAATGTCTTGGACCCCCACGGGTGCAACTCTACCCTGTCCTTAAAGGTCATTCTAAGTTAGAATTGACTTGATGCCAGTGACTTTATACAGGGTTTCCAAGGCTACAAATCTTTACAGGAGTAGATAAACTCATCTTTCGCCAGCAGAGTTGTGGGTAGGTTTGAACCTCTGACTTTGGGTTCATGGCCCTATGCTTATCCAACTAATTCTCACTCACTGCTATGGAGTCGGTGCTGACTCATTGAGATCCCATAGAACAGGATAGAACTGTCCCTGTGAGTTTCTGAGACTGCGACTCTTAAAAAACAAAACCCACTTAGACTGTAACTCTTCACAGGACTAGAGAGCCTCCTCTTTCTCCTGTGGAGAGGCTGGTGATTTCAAACTGCTGCTCTTACATTTATTTAGTAGCCCAACACATAACCACTCTGCCACCAGGACCCTTTTTGCTTACCCAACAGTGCCATATCAATAGATGAAATCCCAACCATGGTGCTAAATCTCTGAGCATACATGAATAAAGTCATAAAGTAACCCTTAATTTAAAATGGAAAGAAAGCTGGGCATACAGAGATTATAGTTTCTGATCTCACAGATCCAAAGTTATTAAGGGAACAAACCAATTTTCCCACTGGTCACCATAAAAGGCTAAAAAAAAGTCTACAGCATTATCTTCACCTTCTCCTAAACAAATGGGAAAAGTGGTAAAAGAAGGAACATCTATATCTTCTGACCAGGAAATCCACACGAACGCAGGGGAAGCAACCCATTTGTTTAAGTCAGGCAAGGTTAGAAAGGATTTGAACAAAATTAGAAACTTAGTGGAAATTAATAATAATAAGAGTAATAGGCATCCAAACAACATATCTTCATTTTAGAAAATAGTATCATGACTCATCTTACAATAGAACCCATTTATATGGGCCAGCTTGTAAATTAAATTGCAAATTAAAAGAACTGGCGAGTGGTTAGCGAGCTGTAAGCAATGGGAATTGGTAACTGACAAGGAACTTAGCTGTGGGCAAGGTGCTAAGCTAGCTTTTATTCACCCAGTGTCCTAGAGACTCCCCAGTTAGCACAGGGTGTGGAGGACTGACTTGATAGGCATCAGTGAACAAGGACTTGAAATTCTCTAGAATGTGAATCTGGACAGTCACCAAAAAAGTCAGCTTACAGAGCTCATGAAATCAAAATAAAATACAGGAGAGTAAACTTTGCATGCTAGGAAATCACATGGAAAACTCTATTTAGACTGTCCCGAGCTGGACGTGATGAACATGTGCTGATTTGGCCCGGCTGATGGACAGCACTTAGCAAAGGGTCCTATTGTCCAGGGAAGGCAGCTAAGAAGTCTGCCAGGACTGGAGACTTTGTGAACGCTGACTTCGGCTGGGGCATCAGAGACCTGTGGATGGTTGAAAATCAGGGAGTTCTTGGAAAAGCAATAACAGTGATTAAGGCAATGGAAGAATTGATTTATGAGGACAGATTAAAGGAGCTAAATATGAACAGCCTGGTGAAGTGACAGCTAGCGGAGCACAGAACAGAAGTCTCCAAGGAAGAAGAAGAGTTATTTAGCCTCGTACAGGGGGTACAACTAGGAGTAATGAGAAGAAATTAAGAACTTTTAAGCTGAATTTCAAGGAAAACTCCCGGATGGTGTAATTTATTAGCTTCTGGAATAAATTCCCTAGGGAAATTCTATAGGTCAGGAAACTTAATAATAGAACTGGACAAAATACCAATAAATAATACAGATAACAAACCAGTACTTGAAAGGAAGGAGCTATATGCGAGGCTCTCCTTGTTTACAATGCATTTTGTGTATTTTTCTCTAATAGTCTATTTATTAGATTAACTCCAAAATAAAAGTAGTTAGACAACTAGCTGAGGCTTCTTTGGCTAAGTCCTCCTGCTACAATAATAAAGACAGAAGCTGAAATAATTTTTACTACTTTGTTTCAATAGAGCCGGTCTTGAAGCAGGCTGGGCAAATGTATTAACATTTGTCAAAAAAAAAAAAGAAACAAACAAACAAACAAAAACAATCCTCATGTACCATCCCACAGAGTCTATTCTGATTCTGTGTGCCACAAAAATCATATTTTCATTGACATATTTAATATAAACAATTTATTACCATAATAGAAATTTTAAAAAGCTTGAGTCCGGCTTTGCTAAATGCAGCTCTATGGTCAATTACTTCACATCAATACGAAGATCAAATAGGCATAATACTAACAAGCAGTTTGCTTAATAATAGTCACCACACTAATTAACCCATCCAGAACATTCCTAATCAGACTCCATTTGTAATGTACAGTTAAGAGAAGCCTGGCAATAAACCGTCCTATGCTAAAAAAAGAAAGAAAGAAAGAAAGAAAATAATACCTCACTAATGGAGTAACACTGGCTTTTCTATGGAACTGGAGAGAATGTGCTGTCCTGGCTGTAACTCAATGAAGTGACTATGCAAATTGGCACATGTCTGAACACTTCCTTTCTTTCCCCCAGCTCCAGTTCTGGTGGAGGTGCTAATGAGAAGAGAAAAGGTCCTGAGGTAAGGACTGAGAGAGGCAGAAAACAGTGAGCTGCCATGGGGGGCTGGGTTGTCCCATGTGCTATCGAATAATCCTCCCCCTGCAATTTTTTAAATGGAAATGCTAGGGCCCATCTTCTTACAGGAACTACCTCTCCATGCCTCCCAATCTGTCAGAAGTCCTATTAAAACACACACACACACATACACACACACACACACACACACACACAC